ATTAACTCCTGGGCCTCGTAGGGGGGTCACCTTTAGATAGGGTTGGCAAGCTTTACAGGTATGTGCTATTCTTTTTAAATCCTTTATTGGGACAGCAAGAAACCATGCATGAAGGCCTCGCCAATTGATGTGAATGAGGTCATGAAGGTTTGCTGCCTACTGGGCCGTATATATGTGGGCCCCATTTGAGGCCAGCCAATCAGCCAGGTTGTTGCCCTCTGTAATGAATACAGGTATCCCTGTGTGACTCCGCATATGCTGAATGAAAATGGGGGAGCTTCTTCCCTCCAAGGTCCCTTGGATCGAGACCATGAGTGTGATAATTGGGTTGGAGTCTCATTTGATATGGGCCTGTGGTAAGCCTGGGAGGAGGTTAGCCACATAAAGGCTATCTGTGTACAGGCTGAAGGGGAAGCTTAGGTCTTGAAGAGCCATGAGAACCTCCAGCATCTCTTTAAATTGTGCTGAACCCTTTGCAGCACAGAAGTCACACCTCTGGGGCCCTCCTCCTGGGTTGGGGCCAAATGCTGCATAGACGGTCCCGCTCTGACCCCCATCAGTAAATACATGTAAGCCATCAGGGATCAAACTCTTGGAGAAGAGAGAAGGTGCCTTGAGGGGCAGCCGGTGACCCCATCAGTAAATACATGTAAGCCATCGGGGATCAAATTCTTGGAGAAGAGAGAAGGTGCCTTGAGGGGCAGCCATCGAAGGGCTGGGGCCCATTTAGAGGCCCCGTAGTGGCAAGTGATGTCTCCAAAATATCCTTCTAGAACCATTGCCACTCTTGAATTGCTGCGCCTAAGCCAATCGAAATCTGCTAAGCAGTAGGGGACAACAATCTTATCAGGATCTCTCCTGAACCTTCGAGCTGCCAGGCTCCTTCCCCTTATAATCATGTCTGCTAGTTGATCCCCAGTTGTGTATACCCTTGGTTGACCCCTGAGTGTAGCGTGTACCCATTCCATTGGCTCCTGTTCTTGTACTAACACGGCCATGGCCAGCCTGTCTCCTATAATAACCCACAAACAAAAGGGGAGCTTAAGGGAGTATCTTCTGACCGAAGCCCCCACGTCTAGGGCCTCCTGGAAGGCCCTAATTGCCTCCCAGTGTATGTCCTCCAATATGACCTTGGTCTGGGGAGGTCCCATTGTGAGGAGTCCATAGAGGGGGCTCAATGCTTGTGTGGAGACCTTTACCAAGGGCCTGAGCCAATTTATTTCTCCCATTAGCTGTTGGAGTTGTAGGACTGTAGGCTCTTTGGGGATGTCTAAGGTGGGTTTAAGGGGGCTGGCCTGTGTGAGGAGTAACTGTGTGCCTAGGATTTTAAAAGGAGGCACACATTGGATCTTTTCAGGCACTACCCGGAGGCCATGTTTTTCAGCCTTTGTAACACTGTATTTAGGAAAGGCTGTAATTTGACTGCCTTTATATGTCCAATTATAAGATCATCCATATATGAGCATATTAGTGTTTCAGTGCCCACCATTAAAGGCTGAAGAATAGAGGCCAAATAGTTTTGGCAAAAGGCTGGGCTATTGGCCATTCCTTGGGGAAGCACTGCCCACTCAAACCTCCTATCAGTGGCCTGATGTCTTAAGGTGGGAATGGAAAAGGCAAACTTTTCCCAGTCTCTTGGGCTAAGGGGAATGGAGAAGAAACAGTCTTTAATATCCACAACTGCA